AAAAATCCAAAAAAAAAAAAAAAAAAAAAAAAAAGATTTGTACTGCTATATGCCGGCTGAAGGCACTCCTCCTTAGTGATTGGCAGCTGCTTGCTTCTAGCTGAATTCTTGTATAGAGATAACACACCTGCTTGAGCTTCCTCCCAAGGACGGAGCAGGGAGGTGCCTACTGCCCTTTGTACTGCCTTTTGCCTGTAATTCATCTGTGTGCTGGCTGAGAAATAAACTTGGGGCTGTTTGGTATTTACCTACTGTCCTCCCAGTCTATCCTATGTTTCAGTCTTCATTTCTCTTAATCTGCCATTTCCTGTAACCTTGCACACCCTCCCAAGTACCTCTTGCTGATTCCTGCCAGCGCAGGCTCCAAGACATATGCAGCAGGTCTCTGGGTTAAAGGACCACAGTCTGATAAATACATTCGGATACACAAACTTAGTTCCCAGTTACCTGACTCAGACTCAAACCCAAAGCCATGTACAGGAAGCTAGATGAAGCTTATTTCTAGAATTAGTTAGTAGTCTATATGACCATAAATATCATGATGGAAAGCTTAAATATAGATATATAATAATCTTATAAATTTTGAGATAGTACTTAATTCTTAAGAAATGTCTTTAAGACAGGTGGTGGTGGCATAAGCCTTTAATGCCGGCACTGACGGCAGAGGCAGGTGGATTGGCCATCACACGTTTCATCTCAAATATTCGCATCTCTGGGTCTCTGCTTCACACATCTACTCCTTGGCCTTGGTCCCCACCTCACCTGCCCTCTGTTGTAGGACTATAAAATTTATAGGCATAAAATTAATTTTATTATTCATAAAATGTAGCCTTTCCTTGACATTCTAATTTGTCAGAAACTGGAATCCATCTCATTAAGTCAACCAGCTGGCAGTCATGTAATTGTCCCAGCTCATTTGCATGAGAATCTGCAGCTTGTCATAGTCCCAAGACTTCAGCAGATGTGCCAGCTGTTGGTGTCCACAGCAGGAGGGTTAAATGGCCTTTAAAAATGTCTTCAAGGGGCTGGAAACATGATCTCCAGCTAAGAGCATTTACTGTTCCCGCAGGAGATGATGGTTTGAACCCAGCACCATGTCTATGTCTGAAGGTGGAGTTCACAGCTGCCTAGATCTCCAACTCTAGGTACCTGCGCCCTCTTGTGGTCTCCTCGGGCACTGCATGCTCATCCCTGCCTGTCCAGGCCAAGGGATGCAGCTGAAGACAGGAGAAAACAACACACCCTTGGAATTGGTGAAACAAATCAGAGCTGAGAGGCCGGTGGAAACACGCTTTTAATAAAAACTCAAGGTCAGAAATTGGGGTTGGACCTGAAGATCTGAAAACCAAAACAGCCAGCCACTGGCTCTTACCTTGACCTCAGTCTGAAATGGCACTCCTCCGTCCTGGAATCTCAGAGAGACACTGTCTCTGAGAGCTGTTTCCTCCTATTTTATAATCCTCTCTAGGACTGGGATTTAAAGGTGTGCGCCACCACCATCAAAGGCCTGCATCACCCAGTTTCTATGGCAACCAGAACTCGAGAAGAAGGTGTGCGTCATTACGGCTACTGAGGCTAAAGGTATGTGTTACCGTGATCTGGTCTGTAAGGCTGACCAGTGGGACTGGTTCACTCTCAGATCTTCAGGCAGTATTTAGTTAGTAAAATACAAATGAAATGCCACTACACTTCTCCTTTTTGTCTAAAAAAAACTATAACTAATATAAGAAAACTATATACAATAAATACAATGACTATATACAATATATACCAGGCAGTAAATACATCTAGTCCATTTGCATTTGACAAACTCAGAGAAAATATTTTATATCTATCCTATTTTGGTGAGTCCAAAGTCTTATACTTAATTTACTTTTTATCATAACTTGCTTTCTGTATCTGGTAAACTATAACTATAGCTAACTAGTCTTGAACTCCCTCAGAGACCCAAGAAGGAAATCATAGTAACTGCGTAAGCAGGAAGTGCAAGCAAGTGACTTGAGTAATGACAGAGACGGGTGACTTCCTGAACAGGCACCAAAAGTTCCTCTGCAACATTGGGGCATCGGTCTTCAGCCTACTGGCATAACAAATTCAACAGATTTTCTGGAAGCAGGATATTTCGTGTGCTGCTTGTCTAATTAGGACAGTATACTGTCAGCTTGAGACATGGGCATTTTCTTGCCCAGTGTCTTAATTTTCCCACAAAGAAAGTAAATTCCATATGGAGTTTCTTTGCTGTCCATTATCTTCTCTGAACTAGATTGGTGCTGCCAGAAGCAAACACGTCTCATTGCCATCAAAATGAAGAACCTAAGATATTAAAACATTTAAATGCCATATTCTACAGATCTCTGAGGCAATTGAAGATGATCTATCTAAATTATATATTTTTTGACCTTTAAAACATCCCTAATGTGATATCCAAAACTGATCTGAAAGTAGCACTGTCAGCATCATGATGTCGTAACAGCCAGGTGGATTCGTTGTTGTGAGGCCCATCTTCTTCCTGGAAACTTCAAAGATTACTGCAGAAAATTTAATGTTCATTGTGGAAAACATAAACATTATTTATACAGACATACATTCAATGAAAGGTACTATAGAGACAAAAGTATTAATGGGGAAAAATAATATCTTTCCAAAATTCTTCCTTCTTTCTGTCCCATACCAGATGGATCCTGATATGAGACAGAAACACTGCATTGTATTTGACTGGCGAGCATTTCCTCTATCGTGTCTTCAATGCCTGAGATTCTCTTCCATCTCTTGTATTCTCTTAGTGATGCTCGCATCTGTAGCTCCTGGTCACTTCCCCAGATTTTCCATTTCCAGAACTCCCTCAGTTTGTGTTTTCTTGATTGTGTCTATTTCAGTTTTCAGGTGTTGAATGGTTTCTTTCATCAGGGGATGGTTTTTCTTGGCTTGCTTAGCATTCTTTAAGGGATTTATTGATTTCTTCAATTTTCTGATTTGTTTTTCCTTGATGTCGTTAAGAGAATTTTGTGTTTCCTCATTAAGAGCCTCTGTCATCTTCATAGAGAAATCTTTAAGTTCATTTTCCTGTGTTTCTGCCGCATTGGATGTTCAGGCTTCTCTGTTGCAGGATCACTGGGTTCTGGTGGAGGCAGGACAGCTCTTTCCATTGTTGGATGGATTCTTTTTTTTTTTTTTTTTTTTTTTTTTTTTTTGGTTTTTTGAGACAGGGTTTCTCTGTGGTTTGGGAGCCTGTCCTGGAACTAGCTCTTGTAGACCAGGCTGGTCTCGAACTCACAGAGATCCGCCTGCCTCTGCCTCCCGAGTGCTGGGATTAAAGGCGTGCGCCACCACCGCCCGGCTTGTTGGATGGATTCTTACGCTGTCATTTGCTCTTTTCCTCCAACTGCTGTGGCTTCTGCCTGTGCTGGTTCTTCCAACTGTTGTGCTTTGCACCAGTGTCTATGTAGCCGGCTGTTTTGCAACTGGTGTGTTTCATGCCTGTGCCTGTGTGGTCTGCTGGGGTTGCAGGTGAGGGCCGGCCACAGGGAGGGTGCTCGGGTGCTTGGGATTGGGCAGAAGAGTGTCTTGTGGGACAGTGTTCAGTGGGTGTTGGAGGTGTAACCTGGAGGCAGGTATCTCATCTGATTGCAGGAAGGTGGGAACTGCAGCAGAGCCTCAAGTTGCTTTCTTAAAGCGCCCAGGACCAGCACCCAGGGATGGTACCACTCACGACAGGCTGGGCCAACCCCACCAATCGCTAGTTATGAAAATGACCCATGAACTTGTGCACAGGCCAATCTGATGGGAGTCTTTCTCAACTGAGAGTTCATCCCTCTTCCAAAATGACTCTAGTTTATGTCAATTGGCATTAAAATCTACAGTCATTAAATTTGTGGAGAAAACAGACCCCACAATTCTAATACAAATTTCCATATTAGTTATTTCTCTATTTCTGTGCTGAAATGCCATAACCAGGCAATGTATATAAGAAAGCGTTTACTTGGACTTACTTGGACTTACTGTGTAATGGGAACAGAGATGACCACTCAGACACTTCACAGCCAACAGAAAGTCTTCATATCAGCTGGCTGGGATGACACCCAGGTACTCAGGACACAGATGGGACGACACCCAGGTACTCAGGGACCCAGAAGGGATGACACCCAGGGACTCAGGGACCCAGAAGGGACGACACCCAGGTACTCTGAGGCCCAGATGAGACCCAAGTGTCCAGATTTTTAATGCAAATCCACATTCTGACATTTTACTCAACACCTTCAGGGGCCTTCACACAGGCAAGCAAATTAGCAAAAGACACGATGAGCTAGCTGGAGCCTATTGACCTCGGGTACCTAGAATACAGTTGGGGTTCCAAGGGATTCTCCAAGCAGATCACATTATAGTTAGACTTGAAATGTCTCAGCAAGAACACAGGTGGAGGAACCTGCACCATCTTGTTCTGCCATGAGTGCTCTAGAGGGCAGAGTCCGTGACGGGGGACTGGAAGCATGGTGACTACAGCAGGGACCTGAGAGCTTACGTCCTCATCCACACGCAGGAAGCAGCGAGGACGAGCTGGGAATGACGCACAGCTTTGAATCCTCAAAGTCCACCCCAGTGATGACTTCATCAGGGCTACATACATCCTGCCCCAACCCCACAACCAATGGGAACCAAGTATCCAAACATATGGGACTACAGGGGGCATTCTCATTCATAACAACATGTATGGCTACAAAGAGAGGTTCATAGGTCACATGAGATCCTGTTTTAAAAAAATAAATGATAGATAGATAGATACATACATACATATATACATACATAGAGAGAGAAAGAGATTCATAGATAGGTAGGTAGGTACATACACACATCCAAACATACATACATACATACATATCTACACACACAAACAAACAGTTAAAATACATGAAGTCAATCTTTAGTAAATATAAATTGTCATAGTCATATGTATATTTATGTGTGGGTAGAGAGACTTGATTAAAGAAATCAAACACTTTGTGTAATAAATTATTTTATTAACAGACTGACTTAGGATGAGGCTGGTCCATGGACACCTGATGCACAGGTTGTTGTCCACAGAGAAGGTCACCAAATGTAACTATCAATGACCCAGAAATCCCACTACTGGGAACGAATCCTGAGGACAGGAAGTCATGTGTCAGAGGTCAGCTCCCCCTGATTCACGGCACACTGGTCACAAGAGCCAACATGCACAGAAGACCCTAGAGTCCCATGGCCAGATGAATGAATTAAAACAATGTCCATTCAGCCCTTGGTCAGTTTCCTACCAAAAGGTATGAAACCCAGGAAAATGCCATTTAACACCAAAAGGAGCATGCCTACCCAGAATTCAAACCAGCTGAAGCAATGGTCAGGGCTCATCGCCTGGTGTCTGAACACAAGGCATGGATGCCCTGTTCCCACGGCCACAGAGTCAGACCTGAGAGCAGTGTCAAGGCTCCAGGCCCTTCCAGGACTCAGCCTGCGGGCTTTTCTGTGGCTTCTACAGTCCCACAAGGACTCACACTGACAACTTAGAGGCAGTGAACTGCACTATGGGAGAAAAGCGTCACCAGGATGAGGGAGGAATGGGGATTCCTCCCCTGGGGGAGAGTCAACAACTCCAGAGCCTGGGGTGAGCCCCTCCCCTGGAGGATTCCCAGACTCCTCCAAAGAAGGCAAAAATAACCTCTTCCCTTTCTTCTCCCTCTTCTTTCTCTCCCTCTCCTCCTTCTCCTCCCCTTCCTCCCCCTCAGAGTCATGCTCCAAGGAGCTGAGAATCATTGAAACATCTCCGGACTTGAGCCTGAAGTATGGGAAAAGAGTCCCAGCGAAGGAAGCTTCACGGAAGGAGAAAATGTGGGACATCTCACTCATGTTATAGAAGGAAATGTCGCCTTCGCTGTAGTCCACAAACACCCCCACACGCTGGGGAGCTTACCTAAAGGATAATGAAGCCCTCCCACTGTCAATATAGGCCCAGTATCCACTGCTAGACCGCCCCACAGTCCAAAACCCCTTTTGGGGACACTCTGAGTAAAAGCCTTTTCTCTCCACATCTTCCCTGCAGACCCCCAGAGTCCACTTGCTGCTGTCTCCATTCCTTATCTCCACCTCCCAGTAGCGTCTTCCGGAGGAGATGCCTTCCATGCCTAACACACAGAAGAGGTCATCCAGGCACAGAGTGGTATCCGTCCGGGTCACACGCCTCCTGTCCTGAGAGATGGCGAGGATGGGGTGGGCAGTGTCTGGATTCAGAATGACAGACACTGCAGGAGAGTTACCAATCATGGGAGGTCCTCCCCAGCCCCTAAACAAGACCTCAGCCATCCCACCTCCACCTCAAAGTCTCTTAGCTTCTTCTAGGGAGACAAGTCCCTCTCAGAACAGCCTGTGGCTCAAGACCATGACTGGCAAGTAGGGGAAGGGAACAAATGCCGTCTAGGGGTTCAAGGTCACAGGGCCCTTGAGAACCAGATCCAGCTTAGTGAGCATCCCCTCTGCCTCCCAGACCACCACCACTGAGGTTGTCACCACAGGAGCTGAAGGAGGGACCAGAGCCATGGGAAGAGCAGGAGGAGTGTCCCTAAGGACCAGAGTCACTCACAGGACTGGAAGTGCTCCCTGCGCCAATCTACAAGAGAAGCACAGGTCATGTGAGGGGTTTCAGACACTGCACCCATCTGGTCAGTGCTTGTCTCGTGAAACACAGACCTGGGAGTTGTGGGGACAATGTACCTGCTGAACAAACATATACATACACACATAAACACACACAAATATACACACAGAGAGACACACAGAGACACACATAAACATGCAAACACATACACACACAGACACACACACACACAAACTCATCCTGCCCTAGTCTTCCCATAAAGATTTGACCAATGAAGCTTAACATCTACCCTAATAAAGGCAGAAGGGCAATGTAGGTCTCACTATGGCTTGTCAGGGCCCAGACACACAACCATCCTGGAAGACGGACATCGTTGAATGAAAATTTCCAAGACAGGGAAGGAGGGAGGTGATGAAGCAGGGGATCCTTGAGTTTGAGACCAGACTGAGCTACATAGTGAGATCCTGTCTCAGAAAAACAACAGCATGCATGGCATGCCACAGCTCAGTGCCTGCAAGGTCCTGGCTTGATCTTACAGAACCACAAACAACAGAAAAGGATTCAGTGCTTGAAAGCACTAGATGGTCTCGCAGAGGACCCAGGTTCAGTTCCCAGCACTCACATGAATCCTGATGACTATCTGTAACTCAAGTTCCGGGGAATAAACCACACTCATTGGAACTCCAACAAAACCAGGCTTGCACATGGCACACAGACATATAATCAGGCAAAATGTTCATACACATACATACATACACACACACACACACACACACACACACACACACAAATGCTTGTGAGAAATTCTAAGTTGCACACTAGTTCACGTGATGCAAAGACTACAGAAAGTCATGTATAATTTCGAGTGGATCACACAGGCCTCAGCAAACCCACAAGCATCCTGGAAGCACAGAACACCAACTCAGAACACCTGATCCAAACACCCAATCCCTGAGCAGCCAGGTGTTCTGGAGAAGGAATCCAGCAGGGAACACAAAGCACAGAGAGAGAGAGAGAGAGAGAGAGAGAGAGAGAGAGAGAGAACGCCACCAAGAGACCAGAAGACTAGGAAGAAAAAGAGTTTTGTGAAAACTGAGACAAAAGCACAAGGAATCCAACTTTTCATTTATTCATTCTTTCGTTGTTTGTTTTTGAGACAGGGTTTCTCTGTGGCTTTGGAGCCTGTCCTGGAACTCGCTCTGTAGAACAGGCTGGCCTTAAACTCACAGAGATCCCCCTGCCTCTGCCTCCTGAGTGCTGGGATTGAATGTGTGCACCAGCACTGTCCTGCAAGGAATCCCAAATTTAAGGAGGACATGGAACCAAAGACTATCTTAGTGAGACATGAGTCCCATGCTGCCTGACCTGACTTCTGGAATCTTCCTGAAAGCAATAATTCTGATCCACAGAGTCATTGTGACCCTTCACCAGTCTCTACGCAAAGCTGAACTGGCCACTAACGCTGCTCCTAGAAGATGTCCACCGAACCAGGTGACTGCAGACTGGGCCATGCTGATGCTGACAATGACTTACACCGGAGGACAAACCAGAATGCATTCTGTGAGCCCGAGGAGGCTCCCGGTGGTGTTCTGATGGAGGCCAGCACTGACAAGGACAGAAGGACACTCATCTCATCCTGCCGGAGAGTGGGTGGGGACACACGTGCACACATAGAGAAGAGGATGACGGGAGCTGGAGAAGGTGAGGAAACATGAGAGCCGGTGCTGTGTGAGGTGCACACATGTCTGTGCACAGGGACAGGGTACCAACGACAGATCAGAGGAAAGTCTACATGAGCACAGAGCGTGGGAACACAGACACAATGGCCTTCATCAGGGTTCCTTAGAGAAGCATGAGCCATGGATGAGCGACCACAACATTAAAGAAAAAATCCCTCTCCCTCAACAGCCATGAACTGTCTACATATGAACTGGGGAAGAGCCTGATTATGAGGCCTCCCCAGGCCCCCTTCATCTGCCCCATAGAGGGTAACAGAGATGACGTAGCAAGGATAATGGTGCTTGTCACCAACCCAGACAACCTGAGATTGATCCCGGGGAACCACTTCATGGAAAGAAAGCAAAGACTTCTGGAAGTTGTCCTCTGACCTCCACACTCATGTCAGCACACACACATACACGTGCACACACATACAACACACACACACACACTTACAGAACACACACACACACACACACTTACAGAACACACACAGAGTGAGAGAGAAAAAACATCTTGGCAAGGGCAGGCCGTGTGACTCCTCTCTCCTAATGTGTCCAGTCTTGTGCATGTGTCCTTTGGGCAGTGACTGCTCTGACAGCTCCAAGGACAATGGCTACATTGTGCTGACAAGCTTCTGTGCCAGCTTGGCACAAGGTAGGGTCATCTGGGAAGAAGAAATATTAACTGAGAAAATGCTTCCATAGGATTGGCCAGTAGGCAAGCCCATGGGGAATTCTCTTGGTTGATAGATGATTGATAGTTCAAACTGGAGAATGCAGCCCGTGGTGGGCTGTGTCATCCCATGGACAGTGGTCATAGGAACATGGGAAAAGAAACAGAACAAGCCGGGTGGCTAATGCGGTACCCAGCAATCCTCCATGAACTCTGCGTTCACTCCGAACTCCACATCCTGCCCTGTGTGACTTCCTGCCTTGACTTGCTGTGGTGTGGACTGGAAGTGTGAGTCACACAAACTTTCCTCCTCAAGCTGCTTTTCCTCACTTAGGGGAAACCCTAAGACCCGTGTTCTGCCCAGAGGACAGCAGTCTCCATAGTCACGCACCTGCATACAGCTGGGCCTTCCTCCAGGCTGCAAAGGAACATATTCTCCTGAGAACCAATCAGAACAGCCCACTCAAACAGTCCACCAACCCATGCTCCCTCCATTCTAAAGGTGAGGTTTACCTAGGAGGAAAGAGGACCCCAGGGAGCTGGCTCCTGCAAGATGCAGGGGCAGGAGAATTGGGGAAATTACATGGACCAGGGATAAGAACGATGGTGCTGTAAGGCTAATCTCCCATTGTCCCTATTCTGTGTGGCTTTTAAACATTCAACCGGCTCCCTCTACTCCAAAAATCAAAGCTTTAAATAGTAGTAGTAGTAGCAGTAGTAACAATCTATAATTATTCAGTTTCACTCTTAATTAAAACCTTACAATATAGGAAAAAATCTTAGAGAATAAAATACAGTTATTCAATAGTTATCAGAAACCATGATGACATCAGCACTTCTTGGAAAGGTGGATTTGGAGATGTGCTGAAAAGAAGAATGTGTGTACATGGACAGGAAGTGAGTGCTGGGTGAAGTGCCCACTATTCCTCATGGACACTTAAATATCTCTATAGCAGGGCACCACTATTCCACGGGCACCCAGCTCACCATCCCTTCCCACTCAGGTCCGCAGCCCTGGCTCTGACCATCACTTTGATCAACACCTTCAGAGCTGAGGGAACTGACTCCCTGGGGGATGACTGTGGAATGAGTGGAGGTCACACTCCAGGGTCTGTGACCTGATTCACTTATAAACATCTTCTGCATGTTGGCTTTGTGTCAACTTGGCACAAGCTAGAGTCATCTGAGAGGAGGGAGACTCAGCTGAGAAAATGCCCCCATAAAAATGGCTGCAAGCAAGGCTGTGGGGCGTTATCATGGTTTAGGATTATTGTAGAAGGGGTCAGCCCACTGTAGACAATGTCAGTACTAGGAAGGGGATCCCGGAGAGGTCCAGCAAGCAAGCTGAGCAGGCCATTGGGAGCGAGACAGCAAGAGGTTGTGCTCTGTGGTCCCTGCTTCAGTTCCTGCCCCAGGTTCCTGCCTGCATCTTCACTGAAAGTTTAACCCTGTTGTTTTTCCCCCAGAGCAGGCAATAGTCCAGAGCTAATGGAGACAAAAGTCAACAATATAGATGACAGACATTGGTGGGAATAAGGCCCCGGGGCACAGGGCACATCCAGAGACCCAGGTCTTTCAGTTCTGAGCAGAGATCTGGAAAAGCCCATGGGACAGGCTTCCCCTTCCCAGAACCTTACACTTCTGTCCCCTCAAGGGGTCCCCATTCTGCCTAGAATCAAGGAGAGGGCACCCCTGGGCGCATGTGCACAGGGAACCATGGGACATTGGGGCAGTCACTCACCAGCCATATAAGCTGCCTTCCTTTGATCTGAAAAACAACATGAGGACTCAAGTGAGCTGCTGGGCTACGGAGGGGACACAGAGTCAGGAGGAAAAGCATGAGGGGACACACAGGGCTCAGGAAGAAAAGCGTGACTCACCCAGCTCCTCCTGGAGTCTGCCTGAAAAACAGTGAGAAGAGAGGAGCTGTGCACTTGGCAGAAAAACAGGAAACAATGTTGTTTCCTACTAGGCTGCACTAGAGCCCAGCTGACCCCAGGACTCCAGCCCTGCTCTCGGGACTTCGGGGGCCACCTACTCTGATCCCAGAACCCTGGATCTTCTTGGAGACTCTGGCCCAGTCCTTCACTGCCATCAGGACTTACACGCTGCCTTCAGTGCATGCTCCTTTGTCTTCTGCAACTCCTCCTGCTCACGCTGCAGATTCTCCAGTTCCTGATGCACCGGTTGCCTTGCACGCTGCTCCCATATGAGAAAACAGCAAGATCCTAGGACTAGAAGTCCCATCGTGGTCATGCTCACAGCGAAAGCCGGCATCCAGGGAGAAGCCTGAGGGAAGAAGGGCTCTGTGGCCCAGGCAGAGAGCCAGTGAGGGGCACACCTGAGGACAGACAGCCCAGCACACTCCAGAAAGGCCACCCACTTCCCGAGCTCTGTAGGAGTGAGGAACAGCTCTCACCTGGGATGAACAGGGCCATGGCCTTCTCCTGGCCCAGGATGGGGTTGAAGGTGGAGCAGGTCACACTCCCCAAGGACCTGTCTCTCACCACCAATGTGCTCTCCATGCTGAACAGACCTGCAGCATCTTCAGTGTGGGTCTCAGAGGATGCTGGGAGATTCTCCCCACTGGAGTCTCTCCACTGCACCTGGGGCTTCGGGTACCACCCTGAAGCACTGCACACCACACACACACCACCATCTTCTGTACCTTTGATGTGCACTTCAGGGACAGAGCCCATCCCTGCAGGAGGACACATGTGAGGACCGTAGAAGGCACTTTAGGCTCAGGGACCCCAGGATCACCTGTGTGTCTCATAGGAATCTCTCATGGGAAACACAGGTATTGAAGAGGAAAGCCCTCCGGGGCTGGGACCAGGATTTGCCCCCATTGCTCAACAGCAGAAAAACAACAGTGTCCACTACTATGGGAAAGAGGGCACGGGTCACTGTTCTATCAACCACAAGACCCAGAGGAACTGAAGGACATTGAACCCCAGAGCCCTGACGTAGAAACCATCACTCCATCTCCCCATTCTCCACACACCTGTGACCCCCAGGAGAGCAGGACACCCAGCTCCACCCAGGGAAGCCCTGAATGCCCTCCCTTTCTCTACCCGATCATTTGTCTAAAGCATTGATCATCATTTCTCACTGACGTTTCTTGGGAGCTCTCTGACTTTTTCTGCCTACGCCTCTAAAATATAAAATCCAACAGCTGGTGTTTACCATGACATTGACAGGATCCCTGGTCCCCAGAACAAGGTCAAGGACATTTTGGGGGCTACACATATAGAATTTAGATTGAAATAACCTATGTAAGAATGTATCACCTATTTCTCATCTCAAAAAAAAACTAAAAAATAAACAGAAATAACAATAATGGCCCAGAGCCATGTATGGCAGAGCATGGCTGTGAGCCCAGAATTAGGAAGAAGCAGGAGGATCCAATGTTCAGGGTCACCCTCCACTACACGACTGGCTTAACCACAGTCTGGTCTACAGAAGACATTGCTCAAAAAAATATATTAGGGAGCTGAGTGACATGAGCCCTTACTTTCCTCCCACACACAGGTCCTCCAACATCTTTAGAACATGGATTAGTTAACCAACCTGCCACCTTCAGCTCCAAGATGGCCTCTTCATAGAAGAGACCCTGTCTGAAGAAGCAGACATACATCCCTCTGTCTGAGACCCGGACATTTCCGATGCGCACAGCAGCCTTGCCTTGGTGGAACTGGTCTTTCACCAGCAAGGTGCGTACTGAATACCCAGCCATCTGCTCTTGCTTCTGCTCTTGTGGGTCCCGATAGACAAACACTGCTTCTGAGAATCTGGAGCGGAACCACCTGAGCTCCATCTTCTCCACACTCATGGCTGGAGACAGGGAGCAGGGAAGTATGGCTTCCCCACCTGGAGCAGCCACGATGGGGTCTGAGGGACCCAACACCCGGAAATGCTCTGTGGACACAGATGTCACTGTGAGAGGACTGAAGAGACACAGGTTAAAGCAGAGGACAACCACTATGACACGGAATGTCCTGGGACCAGGAGGCAGAGGCCGGATGAGGTTGCTCTAGGCATTGTGGGTAGGCATCTATGGTTAATGTATAAGAGATCTTCAGAGCCAGGCAGTGGTGGCGCACGCCTTTAACCCCAGCACTTGGGAGACAGAGGCAGGCAGATCTCTGTGAGTTCGAGGCCAGCCTGATCTACAAGAGCAGTTCCAGGACAGGCTTCATAAGCTACAGAGAAACCCTGTCTCAGAGAGAGAGAGAGAGAGAGAGAGAGAGAGAGAGAGAGAGAGAGAGACTCCCCATTTTGCTTGTGCCCCTGGCCCCAGACCCTTCCATTAGGAAAATTCTTGGTATTTCACTCTCCAGCTTCCATGAACCTGGTCCCAGGTGCCCTGGGTCTCAGCCCAGACCTCAGGCTTGAGTAGGTCTGGCCTGGGCCAAGATCTTGCCTTTGTAAAATCCCTGCAGATGCTCGCACCTTGGGTTTGAGAAAGCACCTTGAGAAACATAGTTCTACCTGGTCTGTCTTAGACCACACACAGGAAACTCATAACCTCCAGCCCTGCATTCACTGTATTAATGCACATCTTCCTCCACTGAATTATACGTGAACCTTAAGACACAGAGCAGAGGCCTGGAGAGAGGGCTGAGCAGCCAAGAACACTAATTCCACTTGCAGAGGACCCAGGTTCCATTCCCAGCACCACATGGTAATTCCCAAATGTCTGTAACAGTCTGCTAGACTCTGTCTGCATCAGACATGAAGGGGGCACACAGTCATACTCCATATACATGGAGCCAAAGGCTACTTCTGTGAAAAATCACACAGCACTACCAGGAATCCCAATTGCTTTTTGATAAAGAAGAAAGAGGCTGCCTCAGTCTGAGTGCTCTTGGTCTTCTAGCCCAGAAGGACTGTGATACTGGGACTGAAAGTGCCATCTGCTGCAGGATCTCCCACCCTCACCCCTGCAGGACCTCCCACCCTCACCCCTGCAGGACCTCCCACACTCACCCCTGCAGGACCTCCCACACTCAGCCCTGCAAGACCTCCCACCCTCACCCCTGCAGGACCTCCCAACTTCACCCCTGCAGGACCACCCACGCTCAGCCCCTGTTTCTCTCTGCCTGGCTCACTCTGCTTCAGCCAACCCTGGCCTCTGCAGCTCCTCACACCCCTGGCACACTGCCAGCTCCAAGGCTGTGTTCCCAGCTCTGCTCCCCAGGTAGGGTGTGGTTGCTGTGCGCAGGCTGGGCAAGGAAGGACAGTTTTCCACTCCCAGCCTCTCGAACGCTCACGCAAGCAGGCTCAGCCTAGATCTTATTAGTAACTCACTGTAAATGGAACACTAGAAAACCCCTGGGTCCCAGTATTAATGAGTCTGTACACATCTGAGCAGCCCGGTACGTGGCGGATCCTGGTCACCGCAGGGAGACATGGGGAGAGAGAGCAGAGCACACTCACCTGTGGATGCCCGGGTAAGCAGCTGTGCAAGGACAAACAGGCAGGTAACATGGCCTATCCCGGTCACCGCAGGGAGACATGGGAGAGAGAGCAGAGTACACTCACCTGTGGACGCCAGGGTAAGCAGCTGTGCAAGGACAAACAGGCAGGTCACACAGCGGAGCAGAGCATGCTTGCAGCACTTGTCCATGTCCTCGGAGCCGGGGAGACACAGGTGGGGAGACCAAGACCCTTGGCTGCAGCAGGAGGCAGGTTCCACACTGAGCTTGGACACCTGAGCAGGGAGAGGATCATCAGGGCTGGTGTGAGCCCCACTGGACAAAACACATCTACACTACCAGGGTGAACGCCCTCCACAACCCAACACTGACAAACACCCATGCCCAGGTTCCTCCCGGCCATTCAGAACAAGACTGGGGAACTGGGGACATCCAAGTCCTCTGAGAGGAAGTCATTCCTTCATTTCCACCCCATGTCCAGCCACAGTGCAGCCAGGCTCTGCCCAGAATGCAGGCCCTGCCCTCTCAGCACCCTGAGGAGAGCCCAGAGGAGACACCGTCAATCCCTCTCTCCACATCCACACTGCTTGTGACCCCAGACACGGAGCCTGTGCCCACCCCTCCCTTGGGGACAGCATGGCCTCCTCCTGTGCTTCTGTTGTTCCATAACTGTGACCAGGCGTCATCTGGGCAGCTTCAGAGACAGACGTGTCCCCGAGGAGGCTGAGCTGCCCATCACGAGGGCCTTGGACGAGCTCTTGGTTGTGGAGTTTTCCACACCTCAGTTCCAGCCCAGTCCCTGCCACAGTTCCAGGCCATCACCCCACACTCGGCAGATGTCACACACACACACACACACACACACACACACACACATACACACACACACACACGTCCCACAGACAGGTTTATCCTCCTCTCTCTGTCCTTGATAAAGACCCTGCACGGTGAAGACAGGCTTGAAAAGAACATAAATAAACCCTAGTCTGCCCCAATCACCACTCTTTAGAAGGTTAGAAAAGGGGCAGACTAAAGGCCTGAGAAGGACAAACTCAGGGACTTCTAAGGTGTCTCCAGTTTCAGTCACCAGGCATGTGACCTGCTGGGACTCACCAAACATAAAACTCCTCCCTGGTTTCCTCCTCAGGCTCCAGGTATCTTCAGAGCAAACATTCCTGCTTTTCTTTGCTCCCAAGGTGGCTGCATGGGGGATGGGGACCCTAGAGGACTTAGCAGACCCCAGATCTTCTTCCCGGAGTTCAGCCCTGCTCCAAAGTGCTCTCACAGCGCTAAGCTCGGCTCTCCCCAACACCAGGCTCCGCTTTCCACATCTCCAACAGGGTCATGGTTCCTAGGCCAGCAGACAGGAAGCAGAGCCTGGCACGAGCTGTCATGGCCTCAGCAGAGGCTTAGACACAGCTGACTCCAGCAGAGCGCTCCCAGTCAGTAGAGCAATGGGAACACCGAAACTGAAAGCCGATGTGAACAGGGTGTGTGTTCCTTCTGCTCGTTCCTTTCTCTGTCAGGAAGAGGTGAAAGTTCATCTCACCACCCCACTCCAGCCCACTCTGGCACCAACAACCCCTCCTGTTGGGGAGATTCCTGAGCGAAGCACGATTTATAGACACTCAGAGAGAGAAACTGGGGTTCACCTGAAGATCTGAAAAGCAAAGCAGTCAGACTCTGCTCTTCCCTCGACCTCAGGTGGAGAATGGCGATCCTGCTCCAGGACCTCAGAATGGGACTGGGGCTGAGAGCTGTCTCCCCCTGTATTATAATCCTCTCTGGGCTTAGGTTAAAGACGTGCACCACTGGAATTAAAGGCATGCACCTCCCTCCGGTCTCTATGGCGGCTAAAGGTTGTGTTATCACTGCCTGGTCTGTAAGGCTGTAAGGCTGACCAGTGGGGATGTTTTCTTCTCTGATCTTCAGGAAAGCTTTCTTTATTAAAATGCAAATGAAATGCTGACACCCGAGGCCGACACATTGTAAGGAAATGCTCTGGGTGAGAGAAGGGGAAAGGAATCCTCCCTGAATCTCTGTTCAGCATCAGGAGCTGGGCTGGACTCACCAGAGTTATGTCAGCCCAGTCACAACTGCGAACAGAGACGATGTCATGGGCGCTGTTCCAGCTCCAGGAACTACTAACATGAGGGGAAGGTAGGTCGTTCAGAAACCTGTCCTCCCTGTGCCCACCCCATCTGCTTGACCTAGAGTTACAGATGGTTCTGGGACACCATGTGGCTACTGGGCCAACAAGGGCTCCTAACCACGGAGCTGTCTCTCCAGCCCCTTGAAAACAACTTCAGATTTAGAGAAAGAAAGCAAGGCTGGCACAGAATCCTCACCTTCAGTCATCCCCAGCCCTGCCCAACCCCCACCCACACAGCGCAGACTCAGTCATCCCCAGCCCCGCCCAACCCCACTCCACACAGCACAGACTCAGTCATCCCCAGCCCCGCCCAACCCCACTCCACACAGCACAGACTCAGTCATCCCCAGCCCCGCACAACCCCACTCCACACAGCGCAGACTCAGTCATCCCCAGCCCTGCCCAACCCCACTCCACACAGCACAGACTCAGTCATCCCCAGCCCCACCCAACCCCACTCCACACAGCACAGACTCAGTCATCCCCAGCCCCGCCCAACCCCACTCCACACAGTGCAGACTCAGTCATCCCCAGCCCCGCCCAACCCCACTCCACACAGCGCAGACTCAGTCATCCCCAGCCCCGCCCAACCCCACTCCACACAGCACAGACACAGTCATCCCCAGCCCCGCCCAACCCCACTCCACACAGCACAGACTCAGTCATCCCCAGCCCCGCCCAACCCCACTCCACACAGCACAGACTCAGTCATCCCCAGCCCCGCCCAACCCCACTCCACACAGCACAGACTCAGCAGGAACCTGCAAGGAACCTTGGACTCAGGTGTCTTGATGTTATAAACCTTATCTCCTCCTGGGTCCCCAGTCTATACCTTCCCTGGGGGAGGGGAGGAGAGACTATGACCAGGAGCAGATCAGACAGCATGAGTGGACACTAACTGGCCTGACTGCTTGTCCACTGTGTCCTCTCCCAGGGCACTGTGGTCACATCAGCTGCACTGACCATAAGCACTGGTACAGAAGCCACAGCTGGCTGTGCTGGTGGACACGTGATCCTGAGGCTGTGGAGTGAGGCAGGCCTGCCCTCTCAGCGCTCAGAAGGGAGAGGCTGGATGATCAGGAACTCAGGGACATCCACAGCTACCCAGAGAGTTCTGGAGCCCATAAAAATACAGGCCCATTTCCACCTTGTCTGAGGGTCAGAGAGTTTGAAGTTTTGACAGGCATAGTTGCACATCCTAATTCAGGAGGTTGAGTTGATTGCCTGGTTCTTTTGAAATTAAGACAGTTACATCCCATCCTGACAGGTGGTCAGGATATGCAAATGTGCTTCTGCTCCTTCTTAAGTAACTATAAGGTCAGCTAGGGAAGGGAAGTCTTCAGCATATGTGACCTAGACCTCCTTTGCTACCTAGACAACAAAATGCTGATGATTTGATGTCTCAGAGTGATAAAGCCATTGACTGTGTGAGTTATCCTCTGTATCACGTTAATAAAGCCTTTGTTACCTTCTCGCCCCCATTTATATTAAATATAAAAGCTATAAAAAATAAATGCTGGTAAAACTTCAGAATTTTTAACTGAAATGCCCTCCCAACACTTTCTATAATTTCTGTCGTATTATTTTAATTAGTCTTCAAATTCTTTGCTTATATTTCTTCAATTTTCATGCCCCTATCTTCTAAGAAGTATTTTATTGAGGCTGGTCCTTGACAGAGAGTTCAAACCAGCCTGAGCTGTGTGAATGCAGTCTCAGAAGGTGAGAGGCTGTGAGGCGGCAGACACTTTAACACCAGCACAGACACAGCAGATGGACCTCTGTCTGCCTGAGTCCAGCCTGCTCTAAATATTGAGTTTCAGGACAGCTCTGTAGAGAGAAAAGAAAAAGAAAGAAATAGAGAAAAGAAACCACAACAAAGCGAAAGAAGGGGTGGATATGATTGAGCAGATTATAGAAGCCCTGGCTACCAACTCTGACAACCTGAGTTTCATTGCTGACTCCACCATCCTATGACTCCCGTGTGTGAGCCACAACACGGGCACTGCAGGTCTCATTTCCCTGCACGCACACCCACGCACACATATAAAACATATTAGATGAAGAATGGTTTCTTAAATCTTTATTTTCATTCAATATGCATTCATATCTTCTTACGTTTGTGCATGTGTGCCTCATGTGTGTCTCGTGTGTGTCTCGTGTGTGCCTCATGTGTTCCACGTGTGTGTCTCGTGTGTGCCTCGTGTGTGCCTCGTGTGTGTCTCATGTGTGTCTCGTGTGTGCCTCCTGTGTGCCTCATGTGTGCCACGTGTGTGTCTCATGTGTGCCTCGTGTGTGCCTCGTGTGTGTCTCACGTGTGTCTCATGTGTGACTCATGTGTGCCTCGCGTGTGTCTCACCTGTGCCTCACGTGTTTCTCATGTGTGCCTCGTGTGTATCTTATGTGCGTCTCATGTGTGCCTCGTGTGTGTCTTATGTGTGTCTCATGTGTGCCTCGTGTGTGCCTAACGTGTGCATCACTTGTGTCTTGTGTGTATCTCACGTGTGTCTCACGTGTGCCTCACCTGTGTATCACATGTGCCTCGTGTGTGTCTCACGTATGCCTCACGTGTGTCTCATGTGTGTCGAACGTGTGCCTCACGTGTGTCTCACATGTGCCTCGTGTGTATATCACGTGTAGTTCGCGCGTGTCTCATGTGTGTCTCACGTGTGTCTCACGTGTGCCTCATGTGTGTCTCATGTGTACCTCACGTGTGTTTCACGTGTGACTCACCTGTGTCTCACGTGTGCCTCGTGTGTGTTTCAAGTGTGCCTCATGTGTGGCTCATGTGTGGCTCATGGGTATCTCACGTGTGCCTCGTGTGTGTCTAATGTGTGCCTTACATGTGTCTCACGTGTGCCTCCTGTGTGTCTCACGTGTGCCTCACTTGTGTCTCACGTGTGCCTCGTGTCTATCTCACGTGTGCCTCACGTGTGTCTCAAGTATGCCTCGCATGTGTCTCATGTGTGCCTCATGTGTGTCTCACGTGTGCCTCGCGTGTGTCTCATGAGTGCCTCACATGTGTCTCACGTGTGCCTCGTGTGTGTCTCACGTGTGCCTCACGTGTGCCTCGTAGGTGTCTCATGTGTGCCTCGTGTGTGTCTCACGTGTGCCTCGCGTGTTTCTCATGTGTGCCTCGCGTGTGTCTCGTGTGTGCCTCGTGTGTGTCTCATGTGCGCCTCACGTGTGTGTCATGTGTGCGTCATGTGTGTCTTATATGTGTCTCGTGTGTTCCACATGTGTGCCTAATGTGTTTCTCATGTGTGTCTCACGTGTGTCTCATGTGTGCCTCGTGTGTCTATCACGTGTGCATCACGTGTGTCTCACGTGTGCCTCGTGTCTATCGCACGTGTGCCTCGTGTGTGTCTCATGTGTGCGTCACGTGTGTCTCATGTATGTGTCTCATGTGTGCCTCATGTGTGTCTCGTGTGTGCCTCGTGTGTGTCTCATGTGTGCCCCACGTGTGTCTCACGTTTGTGTCTCACGTGTGTCTCTCACGTGTGTCTCATGTGTGCCTCATGTGTGTCTCATGTGTGTCTTGTGTGTGCCTCATGTGTGCCTCATGTTTGTCTCAATTGTTTCTCACGTGTGCCTCGTGTGTATCTCACGTGTGCCTCGTGTGTGTCTAATGTGTGCCTTACGTGTGTCTCATTGGTGTGTCTCATGTGTGTCTCACATGTGTCTCGTGTGTGCCTTGTGTGTGTCTCATTTGTGCCTCGTGTGTGCCTCACGTGTGTCTCACCTGTGTCTCACGTGTGTCTCACGTGTGCCTCGTGTGTGTCTCATATGTGTCTCACGTGTGTCTCATGTGTGCCTCATGTGTGCCTCATGTGTGTCTCAATTGCGTCTCACGTGTGCCTCGTGTGTGTCTCACGGGTGTCCCATGTGTGCCTCGTGTGTATCTCACGTGTGCCTCGTGTGTGTCTCATATGTGTCTCACGTGTGTCTCATGTGTGCCTCATGTATGTCTCATGTTTGTATCGTGTGTGTCTCGTGTGTGTCTCATGTGTGCCTCATGTGTTTCTCGTGTGTGTCTCATGTGTGCCTCATTTGTGTCTCATGTGTGTATTGTGTGTGTCTCGTGTGTGTCTTATTTGTGCCTCATGTGTGGCTCATGTGTGCCTCGAGTGTGTCTCGTGTGTGTCTCGAGTGTGCCTCATGTGTGCCTCGTGTGTGTCTCATGTGTGCCTCATGTGTGTCTCGTGTGTTTTTCGTGTGTGCCTCGTGTGTGCCTCGTGTGTGTCTCCTGTGTGTCTCATGTGTGTCTCGTGTGTATCTTGTGTGTGCCTTGTGTGTGTCTCGT